AGGGATTCTAGCCCCTGGATTCTTGGGTCAGTCCTGCTCGTCATGAACACGGGCCCGAGGAACACCCACGGCAGGCGTGCGCGGAGCACTGTTCCGCCCAGGCTGCAGCCAGTCAGGGTTGCGGACAGGGAGGCAGAACAGGGCTCCTGCCGCAGACCTGATTCCTTCTACCAGGTACTTCTCCCCATTTCCATGTTTAGACCCTTTCTGGTGGTGACCGAAGCGGCTGCAGGGTAAATTTTGCAAATTTCAGTTACCTTATTATTTTTAAGTACTTGACCTTTAAAAAGTTTAATTGGATTCAAAATCCATTCACAAGAAATTTCAAGACTACATTTGTCACTGAAAGAAAGGGAAGAGGGAGGGGATGGGTGGAGGCGGAGGAGGGCATAAGGGGGATAAAGGATAATGGGAAAAATTCCAATAAAAAATAAAGTATTGAAAAAAGAAAAGAATTTTTTTTCTAAAAAGATTTATTTTTAGAGAGGGGGTAGGGAGGGAAAAAGAGGGAAAGAAACATCGATGTGATTGTACATGAGAAACATTGATTTGTTGCCTCTTACGTGCCCCTAACTGGGGACCTGGCATGTGCCCTCACTGGGGATCGAACTGGTGATTTTTCAGTTCACAGGCCAGCACTCAATACACTGAGCCACACTAGCAAGGGCAGATTTTTGATATATAATTTCAACTGTTATATTTTTGAAGGGTTAAAATCAATTATTTTGAATTTTTTTATCACCTACATGGGTGAACAAAGTTTTTCAATGATTATACCATCAGAAATTTGAAGAGATCTTCATTATAAAGTTTTAATCAGGAATGGCATATGGCCATCTCAAGTATAAAACCTGATATAAACAATTATGTTCATGGATGTAAGCTCAATGTCTCTAATTAAAACCTTTGAAAACATTTTGTTCCAGAGTTTTACAGAAGTCTCATATTGCTACCTTCCTTAAAACATGTTTTCTCTTACAGTGATTATATAAAAAAGAAAATAATGAAATTCTTTTTTTTTAAAGATTTTATTTATTTTTAGAGAGGTGAAGGGAGGAAGAGGAGAGAAACATCAATGTGTGGTTGCATCTTGCGTGCCCCCTACCAGGGACCTGGCCTGCAACCCAGGCTTGTGCCCTGACTGGGAATCGAGCCGGCGACCCTTTGGTTCACAGGCTGGTGCTCAATCCACTGAGCCACACCAGCCAGGGGAATAACGAAATTCTTAATCAAGTTCCACATGAATGGCTCCAAATCCCCTCCACTTTCCTTTGGGGTACCTTACAAATCAGATCCCCTTCTAAGAGTAAAAAGACATGGAAAAGTGGGAAATGTTGCCCTAGAAGACGAATGAGCCCGCCCTACAAGAAGCTGAGGGACAGCATTCACGTGCCACGAGCAGGCAGGCGTGATGCCAAGTCCTGCAAGGACCAATTTTAACCAAGAGCAGTAGAAGGCCACTGATTAGATTTAAGCAAGGGTGTGATTTAATCTGATTTACACTCTCTAACCTCAATCTCTGCAAGCTGAGGAGAGAAAACAGGTGCAGGTGTGGAGAGAGGTCATCCAGGAAGTGACTGGGGGGCCAGGTGAGAGGTGAGGAGGTCATTCTGAGGCTTTTTTTCTGAGGTAGGATGAATAGGACTATGGGGGGTGGGGGAGAAAGGGAGGCTGAAGAAGGGGGCCTGTGCTTATTGGTCTGAGCAGTTGAACAAATCATAATGCCACTTACTGGGCAAGACTGAAAGAGGGACAGTTTTGGAGAGAGGGCTGGACTCCAAAGCCTCAGGGTATATTTTTTACAAAGTGCACATAGAGAGAGAACCTATAGATGATAACAGATTTAATAGGCATAGCAACCATTTATTTGGTTTCTATGATACTCAAATATCTACCAACAAAATGATTTTAGAAGTCTGGGATTTGCCTCAAAATAATTCAAGTGAGGGAGGGAGGGGGACTGAGTAGGGGTATAGACGACACACAGGACTGGTCACGAGTTGATCATTTTGGGGCTAGGCGATGGTACAAAGGGGCTCGTTATATTATTCTCTCTACTTCAGTCATATCTTTGAGAATTGCCATGGAACTGAATGAGTTCCCCTAATAAGAGGGTCCAGCGAATTGGGAAAGGCCCCAATCTGGGTGCGCAGCGAGGGTGGCAGTGCGAAACCAGCGGGCAGAAACGGGGAAGACCACTACTGTCCTGTGCTATATATCCCTTGGGGAGGAGCCAGACAATAAACAAGTAAATATGATAATCAGGACGATCATTCCTCAACTTACATAAATGTCTAATTGCTACGTTGCACACCTGAAACGAATATAGGTCAATTGTAATTGGAAAATTAAAAAATAAATTTGAAAGCAACAAATATGACAGATTTAAGTCAACATGATAAAGAAAGAGTGTGGCGCGAGCGTGGGCATGGAGGGGGGGAGTACAGAAAAACCAGCTCCGCGAGGCAGTAACCTTTGCATGCCTGACTCAGGAGCCCAGCGACGTTACATAATAAAATGGTGCTTTTAAAATCCATCCCATTGTACTTTTTAAAACTTTTACTTATAAACAAATCTAAATTAGTGGCCATGAGCTTTCCATGCTAGGAAGTGTTTTAACTACTTAAAAAGCTTTCGTTCCCATATTCTTTCTTTTTTTAAACTCCAAATTTTGAGGCCATTATTAGCTCAAGAGTTCTAGAAGTAGGGGCAATTCAGAACTGACTCTGGTGCCCCTTTCGAATCCCTTTTGGCCCTAGCAGCTCTCCTCTCCCCATCATCTGGCCTCTAACGTCCTCCGTTCCCCTTAGCTGCAGTTTTTGCCATTCATGAGGCCACAAAGGGCCTTTCCTCCCTTCCCTTCATCCGAGTGCTGGTTCCCTGTACAAGCCAATGCTTCCGGAGATTGCAAGCCCCAAGAGGGCAGGAGCATCCCTTGTCTTGTTCACTTTTATTACCAGCACCCAGAATTGTGCCTAACCTATAATTGGCACTCAATATTCACTCAGTGAGAGGACTTCCTGAAGCCACTACACGACCAGATAACACAGGTGCTTACCTACTGGACCCCCCAACTGGAAAGGACTTGAAGCCTATCTTCACAGATAAATATTACTTCCCTTTTATGGACAGACAGCTGAGTTCGTTCAGATAATCCAAGATCAGAAATGTTTCATGTTCATATACTCGTTCCCTTCCTTAAAAATATTTTTTAGCCAAAAAAATAGGCATTATAGAAAAATCTAGAATATAAAAAGAACATCACCCACGTCACTTAACATTTCTTGACAATATGATGAGTTTAATTGATGTAGAACAGACGTCCTGGATAAACCCAGTAAATATTTTGGTATCCTGAAAATAAAACAAAAAGGAAGCAAAACCAAAAAAACTCCTTGGCCTGAGTTATGTATGGGCAACTCTTCGCGGCCAGCTCAGCCTAGGCTTTTTTGCATATGTGCTATTGGAATAAGCCAGCCGACTGCGCGCGCTCTGCACGGCGGCACGGCAACCACGAACACTTAACACTCATTAAATAATAATGAAACGGGAGGCCTGGATTTCTTTTTTAGTTTCTCCTGGGACTGTTTCTCACTTAAGTGACCTTGGACAAATCTATTCCCTCCCTCATTTCCATATACCCCTTTCAGGATAATGTTCATGACTAAGATGCTAAGATCTTCAAATTACAAATAGTGCCTCTCATCTATGAAATCTATCTCCTTCACTATCCTACCGGTGGTCTGTATGGCACTTCTGAAAACCTTCACACACAGTTGTTAATACCACCTGGGGGATGGTTCACATATCCAAGGCCAACGAGCTGATAACGTGGATAACTTTAGTGTAAAAAGTCTGTTCCTCATGATACTGAGAATTGGAAAATGGATAAACAATCCCCAAACCACTCTTTTCTTTATTTCTGCCGCTTTCCGCGACACTTAAACTATGCAGAAGCTGCTGACATTATATTATTCTGACGTGTTCATTCTACCCGCAACACTGACACGGTTAAAAGGCCCAGCTGGCTGGTAGGACAAGCTGCCAGGACTGGTAGTCAGGCCCTGGCGCAGTTAGCTGTATACGCTGTTTTAGAGGCTTACAAAATACAGCCATCTTGCATCACACACCCGGCCCAGGAAGAAGGCGAGCTTCGTCCCCTCGGCCTTGGAGACGCCACCTGCGATGGGCTGGTAGCAGCCGGTGGCCAAGCGCGCGCACACCGGCCGCTGTACAGCCCGCAGCCCGCCCGGGCGGCCCGCCTCGATCGGGGTCGCTGTCTGAGCAGATAAAGTTGTCTGCGGACGGACCTGCCGCACTTGGACCGGGACGAAAGCGAGCAGAGGGGCTGTGCGCCCCGCCAGCTGCGAAAGCAGCCCGACCCGAAAGTGGGAGCAGTAAACCAGAGTTCTATTTGCAAGCTTCCTGTTGGGAAATGCTTTCAACTGGGGCGCGGCGACCCGGACGGCCGCGTCCTCTTCTCCGTCCCGACGCCGTCCGGGGCGCCTCGGGGGCGCGCGCCGGAGCCCGCGCAGGAGCGGGGCGCCCCCTCCCTTTCCCCGCCGTGGCCCGAGACGCCCGCAGGCCGGGCGTTCACCCGCCGCGCCTCCTCCCGTCCTCCCCTCCCCCGTACCTGCCCCTCGGCGCCCCAAACCCGGGCTTCGCGAGTTCGATGACGTGTGCTCACGGAGCCGGGTGGGAGCGCGGGGCCCGGGAGCGGGAGTTAAAACGGGGACGGGCGGCTGTCTCGGCGGAAGCCCTCGGCCCCTCGGCACGTCTTTTGTGTTTGTACACACACTGAGCGAGGTGGCTGGGAGGAGGGAGCGGACGGCGCGCGGGGGAGGGGCGAGCGCGCGCCAGCGAACGGGCGCGCGGGGGGAAGGGCGGGGGCGGGGCGCGAGCGGGGGCGCGGGGCGGGGCCGAGCCTTCCCTCCATTGTGTGTGATTGGTTGGCACGCGGCGCGGGGGCGGGGCGGCGTGTGTTGGGGGATAACCTCGGTGTCAGCCATCTTTCAATTGTGTTCGCAGCCGCCGTCGCTCTCTAACGCCAGCGCCTCCTCCAGCTCGCCGAGCTCCAGCCGAAGGAGAAGGGGGGTAAGTTTCCCCGTCTGCCCGCTTCCCCGGAACCGAGCCCCGCTTGCCGTCAGCCCCGGGCCGGGCCCTGGCGGTGCGGCGAGGGGCCCCGCAGCCCCTCTGGTTTGGCCCACAAACTTTTTGGCCCAGAAATGGAGGTGAGGAGCGAGTTTCCCTCTCCCCTCAGGCGGCGGCGGCTCCCCAGTCTCTCGCCGCCTCAGCCCAACAGCAGCAACCGCCGCGGCGCCGAGCCTGCTCTCCCTCCTCCCCGCGCCCCGGGCGCCTCTTTCTTCGGTGAAATCCCGCCCGCCGCCCCTTCCCGGGACCCCAAACCTTCACCACGACCCGCGCGGGTCCCTTAACTGCCGCCCCCGGGCTCCGGCCCCCAGTTTTCGGGCGGGAAAAGGGTGGAAATCGCCGCCGCTTCCCACCGTGGGGTAACTCGCTTTTTGCTGCCTCCCCACAGTTGTTGCTAAGCTTCACCATCTTGTCTCTCTTCTCTGGTCACCGACCATATTTTTTCCCCCGTTTCTCTCTTCCCCATTTCAGAAAAGGAGGAAAATTCTTTGAAGAGGGACATTTTTTTCTCCTTTTTTGGAGAAGCGGAAACTTGATGCATCCCAAATGCAAAAAAAACTTTTGCATTTTGGAGGGCGGCACGTGGCAGGGGATCGGGGTATTTTCGAGGGTTTTGGTGTTTTGTCTCTTAGGAAGGAAACTGGATACGTTTTGCGATTGTTTCCATTTTGTTCTGGTCTAGAAGCCGAGTTTGTGCTTGCGCGAGACGCTGGGAGCGAGGCGGGAGGCTGGGGGACCCCGAGCCGAGGGGCCGGAGGAGGCGAAACCAAAAGTTTATGTGGTGCTTGGGGTGGACCGGTCGGCCGGTGCGTTAATTAAAGCCTGGGTGCGGGCACTTTTTTTTTTTTTTCCCCTTCATTGCGAAGCCTGGTTGGACTGCCGCGAGGACGGCGCTTTGTAGAATGCTGGCTGGTGGTAGCTGTTGTTCCTCTCTTGTTTTTCGTTTTCCAAGACGCCTTTTTGTCAACACAACTGTAGAGATGCTAACGCAGGAATGTTTTCAGATATTTACAGCAATCTATCAACTGCCAGACGCAAGGGGGAGAGTGACGGGGGCGGGGGGGCTAAAACCTTTTTTGCTGTAATTTGACTCGGTCTTTCTGTGGTTTCTGGCTTGGTTCTTTTGACGTGTTTATGGGTCGAATGTTTACAGACATTTTTCTAATTTCTGCTTTAATTAAAGAAATTGAAGCAAAGGCTGTGAGGGGTCTTTTTGTGTTGCCGTTTGTCGCTCAGATTTGGCATTTTTGAGAGATGATTGGTGTTCAGTGGTAACAATTTTCTAGTACTACAGTTTGTTTCAAGAAAGCGTATTTGGGTGGTAAATGCAATCTACCCTTTCGAATTATATAACATTACCGACATTTTTTTTTTCCCTAATGCTGATCATATTTCCAGGTCTTCGGTCGGGCGGGGGGGCGGTTAGTGACAGGAAAACTTGTGTGTTTCGTAGTTTATGGTGATTTTTGGTTTTTTGATGCTGGTAGGTAAGTAAAGAGGTCTCTGTACCATGGCTCGTACAAAGCAGACTGCCCGCAAATCGACCGGTGGTAAAGCACCGAGGAAGCAACTGGCTACCAAAGCCGCTCGCAAGAGTGCGCCCTCTACTGGAGGGGTGAAGAAACCTCATCGTTACAGGTATTAAAAATAAGAGGAAAATAAACGGCCAGTTTGGGGAAGCTATCAAATCATAACAGGAATTGGGGGAGGGTGAGGCACATCCACAGACCTTTTTGTTGCCGTGTTAAAAAAGAGAGAGAGGAAAATAATGGAACAAAGCCCCGAACCGCAGTATCCATATAATCTAACAAAAAGATGTATGTAAAAAGCAAACTTTTTGTTTTAGAGAAACTGATGTTTTTCCTTTAATACCTGAAAATTCATATAAAATTTAGTGTTAGTTTTTATTGGGAACGTGTTTAGTTTTTGAAGCCACAATCTTAACCGATGGCCCAAAGGAGACCTATTACATCACTAATAAAGTTAATGGTCTTAACATTTTATTTAGCTGTTAGTAATATGTATTTTTAAATAGTAAAGTGTTATTTGTAGATACATTTTGAGGATGCTGTTGCTTTTGGCAAAATAATTTAATCAAGATTTATGTCATTTTGTTTTAGTAAAGTTCCCATTCCTCATTTGCTTGAATTGGTTTATTTCCTTCTAATAACGCATTTCGTTTTGACCTACCCTCAGCAGTGTTATTAAGGGCATCTGCCATTAGAGGGCAGAAGTTGCCCGTGCTTAGGTAGCCTTTACAAAAAAAATTAAAGCTCATGCAGTGGAAGAAATAAAAATAAAGTCATTTGAGGTAATTTCTTGCTGGCAATTAGTATTTTTAAAAACCTTCTATACATAATTGAACAATCAAGAATCATGAAGGATAGGTGGTAGTTAGTCAGAGTAAAGGTATTCTGGGAAATCAGATACCACAAGTGTATTTTTAAGTGAAGCTCATTGGGTTGTACTGGTAGATCATATAGATGAATAGAGGATTGGGGTGGGAAGGAGGGTGGTGTCAAATTGAGAAGAATCTAACAATTTTTACTTCTTTGTTAGTGGCCTAATATCTTCCCAAGCTGTAATTATGACAGAAGTTTAGTGATATATATGTTAAAGATGAATAAAATAAATAGCACTGTCAGGAATCTTAATATCATGCTTTTTGCTTTAAAGATATTTAGTATTCTTGATAGGCTTGAATATTCAGGCTATAAATTGATGAGTGAAATTTGATAAGTTGGGCAATTTAGTTTTCAAAAAGTGACTGCATTTCTTTTAAGCTAACTGCTTAAATCCTTTTGTGTTTTTCATGTGTTTTGTAATGGTTTCTTTACATTTTTTCTTTTTTTAAGGCCTGGTACTGTGGCACTTCGTGAAATTAGACGTTATCAGAAGTCCACTGAACTTCTGATTCGCAAACTTCCCTTCCAGCGTCTGGTGCGAGAAATTGCTCAGGACTTCAAAACAGACCTGCGCTTCCAGAGTGCAGCTATTGGTGCTTTGCAGGTAAAATGGCGGGTAGGAAAGTCTCTACGAATTGGAGGTCCTCCTACGTATCAAGAATAATTCTAAATCTTTGGACATGTGTATATGATGTAATCATCACAAGCCTGCAAAGTATCCTTATTTAGTGTTGAGATGTCAGAAGGGTTAACTTGCTCGAAGGTCACACACACAGAAAATGGAGTTGGAATCCATTTGACTCCAAAGCCTAGTGTGCATCCTACTAAACTATTTAAATATTTTAAACATTGCACTAAAAAACAATGTCTAAGGAGAAAAGGCAACCCCTGGTTTGGCCTCTGGTTGCTGCAGGGCAATAAAAAGACATGGGACTAAAGGTCTATACTGGTAATCAGTTCCAACATAGCTGGTATAAAAGGAATGTTAGAATAAATGTCTTGCTGGAACTGACAGCAAGTGGAGAGTGCATTATAGCTAGGATGGGAATAGGCAGTATTAAAGAATTGTGTGATGAGGCAGCAGGGAATGGTGGTTAGGATTGGCAATAGGGAGAAAAGAAAGGTGATAGCTTGTAAAGGAACAAGGATTTGAGGACTAGTCCTTTGCTAAAGGAGTTTAGGGATTTCAACTTAAATGGGAAGCATACTGAATTTAATCTTGGCTCTTGGGTGTCATAACTTCGAGAAATATTATTTTAGGGATTGTTACATATTTGAAATACTTGTGGCTTATGCTGAGATGAAAACTTAAAATGCCCAGAAGATAACTAGGTACATGTAATAATTAACATCAATCACTTAAATAATCCTATTTTATTTTGTATGGTTGGCATTCTTTAGATTATTGTGTCTTGAAATATGGTAAAACTACCTCTTCAAAGCATGGAGTTGGAGGTGATTAAAAATGCAGATTGCTAGGCACCACGACAGACCTGACTCAGAATCTCTCCGCGGGGAGGGTCTAGGCTCCACATACACTCCATTGGATGATTTTCGAGGCTGCTGTTGCTGTGCCAAGCTTTTGTTTTATAAGTGAGGAGGATTTGATAGGTGGATTCTACACTGAAGTATAATTGGTTGAGCTGTTTCTATGGTTAGTCAGAACTTCATTTGATTGGTGAATTCCAGGAGTAGGCGTCCATTAAATTGTCAATGAATTGAAATTTCAAACTGAAATCTTCTAGTGTTGTTATTTAAAACTTTATTTTCTGTTTTAATCACTGATTAATCACTGAAATGTCCCATTGCATTTATTATTGCAATTACAAGTCACATTTTCCCTACTATTAATACAGAAACATTACTAAGAATCTTAGATTTGATTCAAAGTTACTAATTTTGTTTCCTAGTTGAGAGGTGGCAGGACTGTGCTTTTGAGAACATAATTATAATTGAAAACTCAACATTTTGAGTTTGTCATTGCTATAATGGAGCCTTGTCAATTGAGATTGCTAAACAGTGTGGGTGAGAGATTATTGTCTATAAAGGCACGTGTAAACTTCCATTATTATTGAGTTTAAATATCAGTCTTCAACCTTGTAGATTGAGATTACTAAACAATCTGGGTAAAAACTTGTCTTTTTTTTAATTCATGTATAAAAGTTTATTGTTGCAGTTTGTAAGTATGGTTGTATTAGTTCTGAGGAAAATGTTCACCTCTGTTGCCCATAGCATTAGGTAGCTCTTATTTTTATTGGAAAGAGTAATGTTCGTTACAAGTTTTTTTATTTTATTTTATACATACACTTCAGTTCTTTTAAAGATAGAAAGATGGAGAATTTGCTAATGGAAGTAGAATAATAAAGTTAAAATTTACAGAAATGGCTTTAGAATTAACACTATTTACAACTTTTCTAATACAACTAAATGAGGATGGTAGAAAAGTTAGCCTAGGTTTTTCATAGATAATCAAGAATTGACTAACTTAAAAGTTAGCCTTCACCTTTAATATCTAAGAGCTTGAACTATGGTTATTTTTGTGTTAAAAATGGACATAGGTGTTTTGAAATGGAAGAGTCAGACATTGGATATATTCAGAGTGTTGTAAATTGCTGTTTCCTTCAAGCTGTAAGATACTATTTTTTTTGTCATTATCTCAGTTATATTAATGTAGCAATAAATTAACGTGGCAGTCTTTAATCCTCATTACTGCCTTAATGTTTAGGAGTCTTTGGGATATTGATTATAGAATTGGAAATATGAGGGTCATAGTCAGGTCCCTTGTGAATATTGAATCTTATCCTAGAATTGACCAGACAGAACCCTCTAAAGCCCATAACCAAGTTCAGGGATAGCACTAGGAGCCTGTTGATCTTAATCACTCTTAAATAGGTTGTCTCTGAATCATAGGACCTGTTGGCTTGTCCATATAGCAGCTCGCTGCTGCATTTCACAGAAACATTCTAGATTTGCATAACCCTGAGATAAGATGGGCGAAACAAAACTCTTCCTTTCCTGAGGAGCTTCAGTCCTAGTATCTGATGCGCATTGCAGGCCCCTAAGAGTAGGCTGCAGTATGCCATGTTTTCCAAACTTTTTACCCATTACCAGAATCTCAAGAATTATTCCCTGAAAATTAAGGACTTTTCTGTTAATAGAGTCTTTGAAATAGGTATGATGTGAGGGACTAATAATTGTATAGGAAAGATACAGATTTAAATTAGGGGTAAATGTAAAAACAAACCAACAGATCCATTTATTAAACATCTACTTGAGCAAGGCATTATGAGTATAAAATGAAATCTCTATTAAGTAACTGAAGGTATTAAAAGAAGGCTGGTGGACAAGACGAATGAGTGACAAGGAAGGAGGAGTTTGGGGTGCCTGCACCTGGAAGCCAGGGGCAAAAGGAGTGGTTGCATTCTCCTTGGTGTTACAGTCCTGAGCTAGGAAGGCCTTCAAGAGGAGGCAAATAAGATCTGGCTTTTGGTAGCAAATTCTGCAGGGAGACATGTAGGCATAGTAAAATCTGGGGTGAAACAGAGTTTTATAGGAGATAGCAGGTAAAGGATATAAAGGTGAAGGAATAATGTTTTTCATAAGATGAAATATAGTGTAAATCATTTGAATTAAATGTGGCTGTGTTAATGCTTTTAAAGCATTATCTTCTTGGTTTTATTGCAGAGTCCAAATGTTTGTAAAAAGCAAATCTGGCTATTCCCATCTGTGTGTCTTACGTATTATGTGGTATTATGGGGCCTGAATTGCTCGAGTATTTTTGTTTCTTTTTCAGTTTATTATTGTCTTAATATTAGAAAATGGAAATAATTTTTAAAATTAGGAGAAAAATAGCAACTATAACAAAGTCTGGTTTTTCCTAAATATACCTGGAAGAGAGAAATATCTTCTAGAAAATGAGAAAAGGCCAAATAACCTCTCTCTTAATGCTCCTAATCCACTAAAACAGTTTCTTCACTTCATTTTAAAATGATTACACAGATGTTTTAAATTAAACTAAAGGATCCTTCAACTTTTTGGACTGCTGTCAGTTGTATTAAAAGTTTGAGTTAAGTATTACCAAGTACAAACTCTTTTTCCTTCTTTATATGCCAAGTGTTGATGAGTAATTCACACAACTGACAGCTTTTTGAGTGATGTTAGGGTTGAGAAGATCCCTTCAAGAATTTTAGAGTGTAATGGGGAAAACCAGATGGATCAATATTGATAAATAGATGATAAATGCCATTACAGAATAGCGTACATAGAGGAAGGTACACTTGGTGATGGGGCAGGCACATTTCCTAGGAAGGATAGGTTAAAATGTATGTTCTGGAACCTGTAGTACTCTTGTGATAAAATTTGAGGTGTAGCTCTGGTCAGTGTGATTCAGTTGGTTGGGTGGCGTCCTACAAACTGAAAAGTTGCTGGTTTGATTCCCAGTCAGAGCGTGTGTTTGGGTTGCAGTTTTGGGTCCCATTCGGGGTGCGTACAGAAGGCAACCAATCATTGTTGCTCTCCCTTCCCCACTCTCTAAAGTCAGTAAAAGAAAAAAAGTTTTTGGGTTTTTTTGTTTGTTTGTTTTTAAATTTTTAATAGAGTAAGGAAAGGTAGACGAGGACCATAGGATGGAAACCACTTGTCAGCCGTGTTACATTATTTGGCAAGGTAAAGGTTCAGGCATATCTTGGAGTGTGATCAGGGTTCAGCATAAGGAGAACACTGAGTGGGGAAGGAGATTTGGATTGGATACATAATTCCATTTCTTTATAAGGGTGATGATACTAGAGTTTAAAGTAGATTTTTTGGCTTTACTAAAGACACATTACAGTTTGCTAGAAATGATGTTAGAAATATTAAATTTTCTTAGTAATGATTTGACTTTTGTGTAATTGGATAAAAATTTACATGCTTAAGCTATGTACCTTTCATAAGCTGCCCTATAGCTTTGTCCCACAGGTTTTTAAATGTAAGCAATTTGTAAAATAGTAAACATCTTCTGAAGTAGGTTTTTAAAGGGTTCAATAATCTTATCATTTTAACTGATACAGATGTATCTTAACTGTTGAGAATACCATTAATTTTTTTTTCCCCTTTATTCCTATTGTAGGAGGCAAGTGAAGCCTATCTGGTTGGCCTTTTTGAAGACACCAACCTGTGTGCTATCCATGCCAAACGTGTAACAATTATGCCAAAAGACATCCAGCTAGCACGCCGCATACGTGGAGAACGTGCTTAAGAATCCACTATGATGGGAAACATTTCATTCTTTAAAAAAAAAAAAAAAAATTCTCTTCTTCCTGTTATTGGTAGTTCTGAACGTTAGATATTTTTTTTCCATGGGGTCAAAAGGTACCTAAGTATATGATTGCAAGTGGATAATAGGGGACAGAAATCAGGTATTGGCAGTTTTTCCATTTTCATTTGTGTGTGAATTTTTTTAATATAAATGCGGGGACATAAAGCATTAATGCAAGTCGAGATGTTTCAGTGAACAAGTTTCAAGCAGTTCAACTTTATAACAATATAAATAAACCTGTTAAATTTTTCTGGACAATGCCAGCATTTGGATTTTTTTAAAACAAGTAAATTTCTTATTGATGGCAACTAAATGGTGTTTGTAGCATTTTTATCATACAGTAGATTCCATCCATTCACTATACTTTTCTAACTGAGTTGTCCTACATGCAAGTATGTTTTTAATGTTGTCTGTCTTCTGTGCTGTTCCTGTAAGTTTGCTATTAAAATACATTAAACTATATCTGCTTTTGGTCTTTATTATCGACCTTATCCTTGTACTTCACTTGAAATGTCAACATTCAAAATAATTTTAGCATCAAGTGTTTTGTCACTTTATATCTGAAACACAAGACTGTTGAAAGATGGGGAAAGTAGTATAAGCCTTGTATAAGTCAATCTGTTTGCCAAAACCTTATCTTAAATGTTTGGATATGTTGAATTCGAAAGCAATAATTCACAAACCTAGCCATCACATGGAAATAGTTACATCTGTTTAGGAGTGGAAGTACATTTATAAATACTCTATATAGTAAGTGTGGTCCAAAAATTAGTGCATTGGAGATTTGGTTATTTTAAGATTATAAATTCTGAAGTTATTGCTCAAGCACTGTTTTGTTTAGCTTTGGAATAATCAGTGTGAAAAGATAATGAAACTTTTAAGTCCTATAACACCTCTCTAGTACTGACTGCTGGTCGTTAAATTTGAGTTTTGGAAGCTCTCACTGAAATCTTAAACATCAGTGAACTAAGGACAGGCCCATGTCAAGATATATAACATTGGACTTAGGTTCTTATTGGTCTTAAACTCCTTTTTAGCAGTGACTTCATTTTTACGTTTTAGATTATTACAAAACCTTAAGAGAATTCTGGAATTATTTTTAGTGTCGTCCTTTGCATGTTCCCACAGGCAGGCATGAGGAGTATTGGTGGGAGCACCTATTTTACTAGAAGTCAGTTGTTGAATGTCCCCTGTTCAGTTTTCTGCAGACCAGAGGGACACAATAGGAGTCCTGTTCATGAAAATAGGGGAGATGAGTGTCTCCAATGGGGTAGGGAAAGTTACCTCCTCAGAGCTGTTGTGGACCACTTACTTACAAATAGGAGATACCTTTGAGTTCTTAAGAGTTGGTCTTAATTTATGCTGCTTGTTCTCCACGAAATGGTTGCTAACAGTTAATTCATTCTGTTTTGAGTAATAGGCACTCACTGTCCAGGTACTGATACGCAGTAAGTCATATATACAAAGTGGAGCGGTTAGGAAAAAAGTGGCACAAAGGGGAAAACGGCACACTCAACCCATGTGTGGTCAATGTACTGAGCTTGTCTCAATATACCATGGTCTGGTAATACTTGAAATGCATTCTCATTCCTATAAAGCAGGTGATTTAATTTGAGAGGATTATAGTTGACTAAGATCTGTACAATATGAGAGTAGTTTTGAACTCAACTGTTGGACGTGTGAACTGCCCCCCATGGATCCCTGGGTTAATGCTCAGTAAAACCTCTGCTATGCTTGGGAATTGCTACATAAAAACTACCCAGGAAAAGTAACACTGAATTTGTGTTGGGTCCAGAGTGACGAGTAGGAACTGGCACACTTTTTTGGCATCTTCAACAAATTAACCAGTGTTTGGATATTAAGTAACATGAAAATAGCTAACGTTAAGATTACAGAAAATATTCCTGAAGTCTAAACTTTTACAAATGAAGAAAAAGCTCTATCAAATTATACGGCAAGACAATTTTAGGTAAGTAGGTCTTGGGGAAATTGGGAGTTACTGTAGCTGGAAGAACGTTTTTAGAAGGAATTTGGGAACATTCTCAAGCAAATTAGGGGAATCTCATTTGGCTCATAGTGTTAGGTGAGCACTTGAACAATGTCCCAAGTTCTTGCTGCTCTGATCTTGACAGCCTGGAAACAGGAAATGCACATTAGAATGTGTTTAGGATCTGCTAGATGCTGAAAACTTAGGGCATAAAGGTGCTCCAAGTCAAATTCTAATTTTCAATAACCCTATGTGATGAGTGCGATTAGCGTACCCTGTCTGTAGGTGTAGAAGCACCAAGATCACAGTAAACAGAGATGGAATTTGTCTCTGGAGCCTTGCTCTTCAACTCCCATGCTCTAACAGGAATAAGCCAGTTAATTTTCTTGGGGTGGAGGTGCTAGAAGTTACGAGAGCCTTGACAGCAAGAAGAGGGAAAAGACAAAATCAGGAATCAAGAAAACCTGTATTTGACCTACATGCTGTTTGCCACCTCACTCACAGGAGATACACCCCCTTTAAGTCCTTCCTCTTTCCTCAACTCCATTAAATCTTGACTCTTCCTCCAAAAGTACGTCTAGAAAAGTAGTTTTTTATCGACTGTCCCCTCTAGAACGGGCTGCGAGGGGATCGCGGTATGTTCCATTGCAGCCCCAGTGCTGGCACCCAGTGAACCTGAGCAGTCTGTTGACTTCATACTAGAATGAACGAGTGTCCCCGCTTCCCTTCAGGCTGAGCAGCGAGCAGCTGTGGGCCAGGCCCTGCGGTGGGAACAGGCGTGAACAAGATGAGCTTCCCTGCCCTCACGGAGCTGCATTGCAGCTAGGGAGTTAGACGACAGGAAGTAAAATACGTAGTGGACTAGACAGCGGTGGGTGTTAAAGAGGAAAAAACAGCAGGTGTGATACAAAGTGGGTGGGTGTTGGGATTGAGGCCAGAGGAGGCATCGCTGAGGTATCTTTTGAGTAAAGACCTGAAGAAAATGAGCACAAATCGCAGGAGGGAGAGAAGAGTGTTGCAGGCCCTACTGGGGCTCCTGCCGGGGACAAGCCTGGGTGCTCACCAGGGAGGCAGGTGTGGCTGCAGCGGGGGCTGGGACGGGAGCCCGGCCCTGCAGGGCTTGGTAGGCCCTGGGAGGGAAGGGAGGGCACTGAGGGAGGGAGGCCTCTGCAGGGCTCGGAGCAGGTGGATAAAATGGCCTGACGTGTTTCGGCAAGATCACTCTTAACTGCTCTGTGGAAAGCAAGAATGAGGGGAGAGCAGGAAGAAAGGTGACCTAATTGTGACTGTGACATGATACAGTGGCTTGGGTGGTGGTGGTGAGAAGTGGCAATCTGGATTTTTAAGATTATATATTTTTAGAGAGGAGAAGCGAGGGAGAGAGAGAGAGAAACATGGATGCAGGAGATAAACATCCATCTGTTGCCTCTCACGCGCCCCCAACTGTGGACCTGGCCAGCAACCCAGAGGCATGTGCCCGGGCCTGGGACCCAGCCAGCGACCTTTCGCCTCACAGGAGGACGCCCAGCCCACTGAGCCACACAGTCCTGGACGTGTTTTAAAGGCAGGAGACGGTTAGGACTTGGCGATGGGTGTGGGCATAAGAAAGAGAGGGGGGTGCAGCGAGCCCAGGATTCTGGCCTAAGCAACCAACTCCCAGAATGAGTTGCTGTTGCTGGAGACAAGGAAGGCTGGGGGCAGCAGAGCTGGAGAACACGTGGGCTTATTTATGGACACGTTACAGCGGAGATGCTCGGCGTCCAGTGAAGATTTCGCTTCAATAGTGGGTATGAGCCTGGGTTTAGGAAATGGGTTTGAGCTGTAGAGAATAACTTAGAAGACATCAGCAAACACATGGTCTTAAAGCCAAGAAGCCAGATGAGATTCCCAAAGGAACAGGTGTGGAAGGAAATTAGAGAAGAGGTCCAATGACTGAGGCACTTGGTATTTGGAGTTTAGGGAGCGAGGGAGAACTTCAGAGGACACGGAGGAGTGGGCGACGCAGAAAGCCAGACCTGTGGGGCTCCCGGAAGGGAGATAAAAGAGGAAAGTGCTCCAAGGAAGAGAGGGTGGCTCTACCTGTCAAATACTTGGGAGTCCAGTAGAGCCAGGCACCAGCATTTACCGACTGGATTTGGCAACGTGGAGGTAAATTGGTGATCCTGATAACAATTTTGGTGAACTGGAATAAAATGTGACTGGAATGGATTCCAGAGAGACTGAAGCTTTAAACTGAAGTAATCACACGTGACATCATCAACAATGAGACAAACTGACATTGTGAGCCCCCTGATGTAAAGCAGCGAGGACACGCATTAACCAAATGTTGAACCTGAATATAATCAGGAGGAAACGACCCGATAAATCCAAGGTGTAAAATGTTCTGCAGAACAACTGGCCTTCACAAAAGGAAACAGGCAGGGAGCTGTTCCAGATGGAAGGCGACTGCCAGATGAGTCCGGGCGACCACGCTGGCTCCAAGACGGTCAGCAGATGGCCGCACGGTCCGTCCTGACTGCGCATCCCCGGCGACCCCAGGCTCTCGGTGCCCGGAGCGTGGCCCGCCAAGGATGGATTCAGCGGGGACATCGCCCCGTCTCCGGAGACCAGGGGTGCGAAAGGCTGCCTCCACTAACCCGCCCTCGGGAGCAGCCCGGGGAGGGGGAGTCGCAGTCAGGGTCCTCCCTGCTGCTCGCACGCACACCCGCGACCCGCGGGCCCCGGAGCCCTGTACCCAGTGCCTCTGGAGCCCTCCCCGTCCCCCTTGCTCAAGCGGCCGCTGTGGCGCAGACTTCTCCACGCGTTCCTGAAATCGCCCCGGACCCAGGTTCTCGCCTTCTTCATCTTCAGGCGCCAGAGACCTTAAAACGCTAACCGGATTCTTCCAGCCACCCGCAGCCCAGCGCGGCGCTGCCCTGAAAAGGCCCGGCGCCCCTCCGCGCGGTCAGAGGGGGCTGCCCGCTCAGGCCACGCCCCTCGGGGAAGCCGTGCAGCGTCCTCCAGGCCACGCCCCTCGGTCTCGCCACGCCCCTCCAGGTCCCCTCCCTGCTCGCCACCACCGCTTGGCTCCGCTAGGCTCCCGGGCAGTTCACGATGCTCCGATCTCTCCACATTTCCCGGCTTTCATCGCGCTCCCCCCGGGAAGGGCGCCCCCCACGACCCCGGACGGCCTCTGTCGTCCCCACCCGGACCCCACGCGCCCAAGACGAGGGAAACTTCCAAGATCTCAGCCTCGCCGCAGGCAGGCCCCCGGCTCGCTGTCCCCACAGCTCCTACTGGCCTTAGGGTTTGGGGGACCCCTTTGCCCGGTGGGGGTTCGCCGGCCC